AAAGGTATAATATGCAAACGGGTAAAATGGACCTCTGATTCAACGTTCACAACCATCGAGGAGATTCACTTCAGAAATCTTTATCCTGAGCAGCCGTTTCGGATAACAGCCACCTTGATAATTATTATGGGTCAATAGTGATAAAGATTTTTTTATTGTGTATACGCTGTAAAGCTGTTTCTAGAAAGCTGGCAAGGAATGAATCCGGGGCATGATCTGCAACGAACTCACCTCAAGGCGGTAAAGAACACATGAGTCGTGTCACGCTTAGTTTCGTTGCTCATCCGTCATCCTTGCATTAGTGGGTATTACCGAGCTTATAGAAATTTGTGGTCTTGCAAGTTGCGGCTTAAGGGGCATGTGAGTTGGATTCAACCAATCAGTACATGATCAATGTGTAGCTCCACGTACATCAAGGAACGCAGCGGCTATCATCGACTACCGTAGTGCAACATCTGTAGTAGTTGGTAGTGCTCCCAACGTCCCTGATACTGTGAAAGAGTCTGAGTTTCGGCAGAAGACAAGTTCTTTTCGTGTTTTTTGTTTTGCAGTTTGCATACCTCAATGTTTGAGTCCAGACAAGAGGATTTGACTCAGACCACATCTATCCACAGTAGAGACCGAAGGCGTGGCCATATTTCTTCGTCTTGTATGGTTTGGCTTTAGCATTCTGGTCAACATAGTCGAGAACAAGGTCGGTCTTAATGGACGACATGTGGGAATGCAAGGAATATAGCACTGTTCACTCCGCTTCGACAGCAGTTCATGTTATCATCGCTCTGGAAGAAGAACGACATTTGTCATCGTTTGTGATGATGATTGATTCCAACTTTTTCTCTTCCTCAGCTTAGTTTCCTTTCGATCCTACTGTATGACGAGGTTCCGTCCTCAGGTGGAGCTCTGTTCAGACGAAACCACTGTATCTATTTCCTAACCCTGAATACGTATTGCCTGCGTGAACTGGTTTGTTCATGAACGAAGTTCATCTCCACTGATGAACTTTACCCACTTTAATCGTGCGGAAAATCGACGCCTGCATCCAAGGTTTACAGAGAAAAAGTAGTACAGTGAAATCTGCCGCTCTTTCAAACAACGCCAGATTATACTTATTTAATTTCTCATAATCTGATCCACGTCAAAACCTTATAAGCAACCATTCTCATTCGCATGGCGATCACTGGCAGCTTTGCGTCAAGGCGACCAAAGCACAGGCGAACTCAAATTACTGATTACATTTCTAATTAGATTTCTGTCCATTAGTTCGACTATAATTGCCACCAGTGTATTCATTCATATTCACAGATGACAACGGGTACAGGTTTG